GTTTAATCTGAGACCGTTCGTTTTGGCCCACTTTACTATCCTACCAAAATCATCATTTAACCTAAAAACTAAATCTTCACCTAGACCGATGGGACGCGAGAAATAAATCTGTGTGTCATCAGCATATAAATGAATACATGAGTTTTGGCAACAATAAACAATATCGTTTATGAAAACACTAAAAAGAATGGGACCTAGAATCGAGCCTTGAGGTACTCCGGAAGTGATTTTTTTGCGACAAGAAAAGATGTCTCCGCATTGGATTTGGTATCTGTTTGAGAGATAGTTGCTCATTAATTTGAGTGACGTTGAATTAAAACCAAAATAATGTTGCAGCTTTAACAAAAGAATGTCATGTCTTACCATATCAAAAGCTTTAGAAAAATCGAAGAGCACTAAAATAGTAAGTAACTTAATATCAAAAGCAGGACGAATGTCTTCCATAACTTTTAACAAGGCAGTTGAACAACTGTGATTGGATCGAAAACCAGATTGGAACTCGCTCAAGAGACTATACTTATCAAGGTGGTGAATTATTTGGGTGGAAATTAATTTTTCGAAAACTTTCGCTAGAGCTGGTAAAATGCTAATGAGTCTAAAGTCCCTTGTAGAGTCAGATGAGTTGTTTTTAGGGATCGGAATAATATTTGCAATTTTCCATTCTTTGGGAAAGGTAGAGGAGGTTAAGGCATAATTGAAAATATGTTTAAGAGTAGGCAGCACATAAGGCAGAATTAGTTTTAGAAAGCGTAGACTGACTCCATCCACGCCGGTAGAATTTGATTTTATTGCAAAGACGCATTTTGCGACACCATGTTCCGTAGCTACATCGAATGAAAATTCGTATGCCGGCTTATAATTTAAACTTTCATTAGTACTAAAAGGATACGGATCTGACAAGGCAGCACCAGTAATGAAATAAGTATTCATTTCATCGGCATCAATCGTACATGTTTTCGCGTCCTTAGCACAGACTCCGAATGTTTTTAAATTTTTCCACCATGCTTTAGGGGACAAGTCAGTGTTGAGCTTAGTTTCCAAGTAGTTCTTCTTGTTATTACGTAGTGTTTTAGCCACTTTATTTCGGAGATTTTTATAACTATTCCAGCGCTCATTTGTAGGATTTCGTTTCCAATACTTATAGGCCCTAGATCGATCTTTAATAAGATTTAGGATAGCATTCGTTAGCCAGGGCTTTTTATAATTATTTATTTGTGTACTTCTTACTGGAACGTGTTTTTCAAACAGATATTTTACTAGCAAAGTGAAGTGGGTTAATTTTTTCATCAATATTAGAAAAGAACCAGCAGCGATTCCAGTCTAGTGAGATACTATCGTCAGTTAATGC